ATATGGATTGGCTAATGGTATGCAAATTCAGTTTCAAAGCTAACAGTGGGAGCCTACTGGATGCAGAGCATGTCATAATGTGAACATACCCTAAAACCAGACCGCAGCTTTCTTTCTGAGCCATTCACAGCACTGGGGCAAGCATCTTTTTAACTCCAGCACCCTGCTTGCCTCTGCAGTCAGGCCAGTCCTAACACAGATTGCAAGCTCCTTGGGGCAGGGACTTTTGCCAACGTTGCTTTGTAAAGAGCCATGTACACTGATGAAACTCTCATAGGAATCACAGCATCCTGGGAATGAGGTTGCAGAGAAATGCATTGGACCTAACATCTCTTTTTGGCAAAAAGGGCTTTGATAGGGAAATGTGTCCAAGCAATATACTCAAGAAACAAACACGTACTAATTTATTTATTTTTTCAAATGCCCATATTCTTTACAATGAAGCTAGAAAGTTAACAAATCCACAACCAAAGAGGTTGAACAAAGTCCAGAGGTGAGAACAGCCCTCCTAGAACATTCCCCTTCCAACAGCCCCTTTCTGGTTAAGCTAATGGCAAGCGCTGTTAAACAGATGTGTTTGCATCTAATATGTACTTTTTGGAACATGCATATTGCATCAGCTGGGATGGGGGAGTGGGTTGCAGGGGGGATTTTATCATTTTCTCCCTTGAGAAAATCACTCTTCTGTAGCTGGTATTTCCTTTGGGGGAAATCCCCCATTAGTGCCAATCTACTAAGGTAGAAAAGAATTGCATTTGCTCTCCATTTCTGATCTGATCCCATAAATTAACAACTTTTCCTGTCCTCCACCCTCAAGCTGATTGCCTTAAAACACACACACACACACACACACACATTTTAGAAGCAAATATGCATTCAACATCATGTGTAGCTTAGTCCTTAAGAACAGAATATACTTTGAGCAACTATGGGTATTTCCATACAGGTGTTTATTGTGGGATCGGCGTTACTCATACATGCACATGAGTAACTTTTTACAGCCTGCACATGGCAGCATCAACACTAATATGCATTTTCCACCTCCGTTTAATCTGCATTTACTCTTCCTGCTGAAAAACCAATGAATTTTAAGGGGGCGGGGGACACCTGTTACCAATTACCTGTTTGCAATATTTGAAAGGCTTGTTTGCAACATTAAAACTCTTGTCTGGAATCATACCTCCTATGTAGTAAACAGGTTTCATAGACTGGCAAAGATGCCATGCCATGCATTGGAAACCAACATGGGGCTTGGAGGCAGATGGGCCAGGTTCAAATCCCAGCTAAGTCTGACCTGCCCCAACTTTTCCTAGCTTTGGGAAGTGGTGGAAGGAGCTCAAAAGACAGTGCAATATGGCGGGCCAAATCATATACGCATATGCCCCTTTGCTTGTTTTCGACCCATTTTGGTTTGACAGATTTGTGTCAAGTTAGAGAAAGTCTGTCAGGAAAACAAGGCTGCCAAAAGCTTCACTAAATGGTTGTCGCAGAAATGTCATCTTCCCATTCCCCATGTGACCTGGATGATATTGTAATCATTTCCAGTGAATCTGTAGGGCTCTGCCAAACAAACCAGAGCAACGTCTGGAGGTTGGTGTGGAGGGATGAAACAAAGAGTTTAAGCTGTGAGCTGAGAGAACCTATTCAATTCTTGATGTGGAGGGGGGAATTTTCCATGATAGCTTGCCCTGTTTGATGGGTGGGGATGCAGCTGAGAGCGGTATCAATATGCCATGGAATAACAGCCCTGTATGTATTCAGGAATGGCAAAGATGCAAATAAAGGCACTGTGGGAGACGCATAATAGCTTGGAAAACAGAGGTGGCGAAATCCATGCACAGCAGCATAGACTGTCCAAGAGTGAAACAGACAATAATCTGGCAGAGATTTAAGCTTTAGGGGCAGAAGCCGTAGACGAGACCAGAAAGAAAAGGCATGTACAGCTGGAGATTGAGAACTGTGTGTCCCAGTTGCAGATCCCTTCCATGCCAATGAATGCAGCTCTGAAAGCCCCAGTCCAAACTTGGCAAGGAGAAAAAGGGGAGGTGGACCATTCTAAGCATAGGAGGAAAAATCTTCACCATTCCCCAGACCCACCTCAATTATTATTTATTAAAGTTATGGTTTCCATACTACTACATTAATACAAACCATTTACAGGCGTTACACAAACAGCTTAAATCGTAAGTCTGTAATTAAAGTCCCCCTACGGCAGGGAATTGCTTAGAAAGTTGCCCATCAGCCTTGCCTTATGTATCTCCACTCCAAAGAAGACACATTCTCGGGCTGCACACTTGCCTAGGTATAAACCCCACAGTGCAACCTCCTTCCAAGTAAACATGCATAAGGTAGCACTGTTCATCCTTTGTTGATCAGGCCCTCTGAAGCATCTGTGAACGAGCACCTTCTGTATAAGCTGTGAGGGGAGGCATTTTGGAAGCAGGACCGAGAAACAGAAGCAAAGAATGAGTGATGTGATGCCTTTTATTGATCTGTGTAGCTTGGAGAACTGCAAGAAGAAAAACTGCCTGGAAAGGGCATTCAGCAGGGCAGCAGTGGACAAGGCCTAGGAGTTTCTCCAGGGAATTATTTCCCTGTGAGGTGGGTGACAATGAACAAAGGGCAGCTCTTGAAGCAAAGTAAGCTAAATATGATTTGTGAGGATTTTCTGTTACAGAATGGAGTATTCCCCAGTAACCTGGGCTAGGTGTTACTTTCCTGCGGCAGAGATGGGGACCCCATGTTGTTGGACTCCAATTCTCATTCAACATGCCCAGTGGTTAGGAATGGTGGGAGTTCTAGGCCAGCAACATCTGGAGGCGAACCCTGTTGTCTACCCCAGATAATGACAGATGGATCATGTTACCATCAAAAAATGCACTGCAACAGTAATTGTGGGGGCTTTGTAATGACAGTAATTACAAGGGTGGACTTTGGTAATCTTTGGTAGTATGGTGCCCTGAGCGAGGCCAAAATCTGACAACCCTCAATGGATCTTCTCCATGCTGGATCTTCTCAATTTTGCACCCCCTCGGCTCAGCGCCCTGTGCTGGAGAACTACCTGCACTTCCCTAAATCGGGTGCTGATCCCGTATTGTAGACTCAAAAGTCTGTGCTAATAAGAGACTTCTGAAAAAGTTTAAGATGAGGCAGCTATTTAGTTGGGGCAGGGAAGAAAGATTGGCTTTGGGGGAAGCAGTGGATCACTTGAGCTTTATATGGTCAGGGTGACATTTAAAAGTGACATGATGTTGGAGTTGGTCCTAGGGTTACAAAGTGGCAACAGGGTAAAGGCGAAAAGGGGATTTTTTAAGAGGATGGTCATTTTGTTTGGAGGAGGGGATATTCCTTAAAGGGGGCAACTAGGAAAAGGCTATTGATAAGGTAAAGGGAAGGGGTAGAGAGTTGGGTGGGACAGGGATGGATTTTTCTACGGACAGCAGACCAGCTGATTTCTTGGAGAAATACTCTCCAAAACTGAGAAAGGGGTTGGGTTTAGTTCACTGTCTCCCGCAGACAACCTGTTATGTACTGAGTTTTATATTTATTGATCATCCCTCCCAATTTACTTGCACAAAGCTTAAGCAGAGGTTAGACTGTTTCTGGTCATTCTCAAGCATTCATCCCAATTTGAGGGGAAGTTACACAGTAAGCATTCATTCAGGCTTGCTTGTGCAATGTTTATGCATCTTCCCATTAATCATTTTCACCACCACTTTCTCAATAGCAAAAAGTCCAATTTTTAAATAAATAAACAGTGGGTTTTAAAAATAATTTAATTTAAAATAATTTTTAAAATAAAATAAAACAGTGGGTTTGTTGCATGCAGTCAGCAGAGCAGGTTAATCCATTTTAATTACACACACATACATTTCTGATAGGAGCTTCAATCCCACCCACCCCCAAAATAGTAACAGTCTGGAGGTAACCTGAGTTCCCTTAAGGGCAATGAGCATGTGGTTCCTTGGTTGGAAGCAACATTAAGTAGGAGATGACAAAGAGATGGTGGACCAGAACAACCATCAGTGTGGCAACCTTTGGAGGACGGGCTATAGGTCAGCGGTAGAGCATCTGCCTTGAATGCAGAAGGTGCTGGGTTCATTCCCCAGCATCACCAGGTAGGGCTGGGAGAGGTTCCCTATCTGAAACCTTGGAGAGCCACTGTCATTCATATTGAACTAGATGGACCAGTGGGTTTGACTTGGTCTAAGGCAGCTTCTTATGCTCTTCCTTAACTTGAGTTTCATTAGGAGCCACAGTTCCCTACACTTAGTCAAAGTGCAGGGAGCAGAAGGCTCTTGTGAAATATATGATGGGAATATTGGGGAGTGCAAAGAGCTGCTGCTGGAAGTTACTTGGGTTGGCAGGATAGATATTAGGGAAGCAGAGAATAGCGAGAGCAGAAACCGTAGTATTATCTTGACAGGGATTAGGGAGGTACAAGGAGTTAGGGCAGAGGGCAAGGAGCTATTCCCAATAGTCTGATGACTGTTGCTGAATGAAGGAATTATCTGAGTACTTTTTGCAGGAAACTGGTTTTCTAAAGGGGAGTGCAGCCTTTCCAAAAACAGAAGATGAGGAGGGTTCTTGATTGGAGAAGGGACTAAGAAATGGGGGGGGGGTGTTAATTGAGTTGGAGACTCAGGTGGTGCAAAGGATAGTGGGTGACCCAATGCTGTCCCCCCTCTTCATGATAAGTCACCTCCGCCTTTAAGGGACTGTGTGACAATGTCAACAGACAGAAAGTCAACAGGTGAAGCAACAGGGAACTCACCGCCTGGTGAAGCTCTGCCTGCTGCACAGCTGTGGAAAGGAAGGAAGGCTCCTTGCAGAAAGCGGGACAGAGCAAGATGAAATGGGATGGTGGCTACACTAGAAGCAGGAGTGGGGGTACAGCCACTTTTGACTAGGGCAAAGAAGGAAGTGGGGGGCGGAGAGGAGGAGGAGGAAGCCCCCTTGCAGGGTGGCTTTTACGGGGGCGGGTGGGGGCAAAGGGTTACCTTGGGGGGCAGGCTGAAGAGGACAGGCAGCAGCACCAGCGGGGTGCAGAGCAGCACCAGATAGCGGCGGATACTCCACACTTTCTTCACTAGGGCTCCAAGCGCTGCCATAATAACCCGACCGGACCGGCTTGGGAGAGACCGGCCGCGGCGCCCGGGCCGCCGCTTTATCCCGGGGGAGGGAGGAGGGCGAAGGAGGCAGGGCTCTTACCTAGGGGCGGCGGCAGGGAGCACGGGGCTCGCCGTCCGCCAGCCCGACCGACTCCCACCTCCCGCTCCATCGGCGCATCCAGAGAGCCAGGAGAGGGAGCCGCGGCCGTGACCGCCTCCTCCGCCTCCTTCAAGGGACCGCCTCCTCGGGGCTGCCCCCTCGCCCACCCCGCTCCAGCCGGAGACCGAGGAAAAGCGAGCAAGAGGCTATTCGCCACGTGGAGCGCAAAGGAGCGCAGCTTTGGAGCCGGCATCCGCCGAGCGCGCCGCGCGTCCTTCGCGCAAGACGCGCCTGCTCCAAAGTTTCGCTGCACGTGGGGACCACGGAACTTCTCCTTGGCTGCTGTGGCGCCAGGACAACAGTTGTAATAGTAGGGAGGCTGGAAAAGAGGAGAGTGAACAGCCAAACCCGAGGATTCAGGGGTGCAAAGTTGAATAAAATGGGGGGGCAGGTAAGCCCCCTCAAATATTTTACGGGCGGCAGCGAAGGGACCTCGACTTCAAGAAGTTGGCTCCTATGCACGGATTTGTTATTTCTCCTCTCCAGTTCTCTGAACAGAGTTTAACCTGTCAGAGGCTTTCGTTGTTGCATCTGACCCTGCCATTTTCTAGACTCTGGAGGCGAATATGTCCTGTGAGCAGTCACCCCCTTGGGGAGAGGTGCGGTTCCTTCTGCGTCCATGGAATGCCGTTTTCTAATTCGAAACCTTACCTTTTGACCCAACCTTTATTTATTCATTTAGAGCGTATGTGCCCCTGTTCTTCAGCCAAAGAAAGAAAGACAGACTCCTAGAGTGGCTTACAATAAGACAGTGCCTGCCCGTAGGCTTACAATCTAAAAGACACAGCACAAAAGGAAAAAGGGACAGGGGTGGGAGAGGAAAAAAGCAAACTCCACTGCTAGCCCTTAAAAGTTAAGTAATAGTTCTTACACTGACCAGCTTGATGTTGTGTTTCCTGGAACAAACACTCCAGGCTACTTCCAAACAGTACAAGGTTAGTTCTTGGTACTTAAAAAATAATAATAATAATTCTTATATTCTGAAAGGAGTCACCTTTTGCCTGATGATGTGAATGAACTAATATATATTGGCAATTTTGGTCCAACTGCATTGGCTGCCAGCGAGTTTCAAAGTGCTGCTTTGACCTATAAAGCCTTAAACGGCTCAGGGGCCAATTCTTGTGATGATGGGGCTGCCCTCAAATGCCTCCACATTGCAGCTGCTTGAAAAAAAAATCAACAACTCAGGTTGCTTTTACAGGCTTGTCATGCAGCTCTCCTAGTATGTGGCTTGACTCTGTGCCACTAGACACATGTGCCAGCAGGAAGCTGCATGCTTGGTCCTTTTTAAAAAACAAACAAGTGGAGATAATTGTTCACTCAAATTCTGTGCATGGCAATTCTGAAACCTGCATTCTTGCACTTTTGCAAGCACTTGCTCTCTCTCTCCCCCCCCCACCCCGGTTTCATTTTGCTCCGGCTGTTCAGGGCCCATTCCCTGACCCCCTGTCAGAGTGTAGTGCTGTCCGGGCAGGACTTTGGGGCAGAAGTTTCAGGCTCCACAACAAAGAATGTGCAGAAGGCCTGGCTTATCACATCTTAAAGCAAGTGAAGTCATACACATCACCACCTATTGAGACACCCTCACAAGACAACTGAGCAGAGTCTAAAATTAGCTAATGGCACCACTATCTGGTCCCCTCCCCTTTCCCCTGGCTTTGCCCCTCCCCAGTGCCAGATTTACGTATAAGCTAAACAGGCTATAGCTTAGGGCCCCACCCACTCTCTTGAGGCCCCCCCAAAAAAATTAAAGGGAAAAAATCTAGATGTACATTTCCAAAATACAGTGGTACCTCTGGTTATGTACTTAATTCGTTCCGGAGGTCTGTTCTTAACCTGAAACTGTTCTTAACCTGAAGCACCACTTTAGCTAATGGGGCCTCCTGCTGCCGCTGCGCTGCCGCTGCACGATTTCTGAAGCAAAGTTCTTAACCCAAGATAATATTTCTGGGTTAGCGGAGTCTGTAACCTGAAGCGTATGTAACCTGAACCGTATGTAACCCGAGGTACCACTGTATAATATAAAAAACAAATAAAATAAAACCTACATACAGCAACAGTGTTTTGTGTTGTGTAGGCTCCTATGATGTAAGTAATGGGCCTCACCTGCTAGCCTGCTCCCTAAAATATCACCGGTTTGCTCATTTCTATATACAGAGTTACACAAAAAACAGCAACAATTTGTTGTTGACAAAAGGGGAACAAAAAACAACAGCACCCTGAATAAAAAATTGTGGGATTTCAGGAAGGTTGCAAGAAATGCGCCGATTGGAAATGAAGCCGTATAGCCACCCCAAAACCTTTGCAGGTGCAAATGGTCTTGAAAGCGGCATGGCAAAGGACTGCCCCAATGCCATCATGAACACAAATCATCATGGATGCTCAATAAAAGGGACATCTGTAGGGCTCCTCAGAAAACATTTGTTCAAATGTGAGCCAGTATCTCAATGGCGGTTTCCAGATCGCTCATGCTTTGACACTGGAGCACCTAGACCAGGCACCCCCAACTCGGCACTCCAGATGTTTTGGGACTACAATTCCCATTATCCCTGACCACAGGTCCTGTTAGCTAGGGATGATGGGAGTTGTAGTCCCAAAACATCTGGAGGGCTGAGTTTGGGAATGCCTGACCTAGGTCAATAACAGAGGAAGTGTCCCTGGAAAATACAGAACCTTCCTTTTGAAACACACAAAAATCTAGGAAGCTGACTTGTACTCAGTAAGACCATTGGTCCACCAAGCTGACTTGCAGGGGTCATCCAAAGTTTCAAGCAGGCATGACTCTTGTAAAGACAACTAATAGTAGAAACAGTAGAAAATATGGCAAATACAGTGGTACCTCGGGTTACAGACGCTTCAGGTTACAGATGCTTCAGGTTACAGACTCTGTTAACCCAGAAATAGTACCTCGGGTTAAGAACTTTGCTTCAGGATGAGAACAGAAATTGCGCAGCAGCAGCAGCAGCACGGCAGCAGCAGCGAGAGGCCCCATTAGCTTAAGTGGTACCTCAGGTTAAGAACAGTTTCAGATTAAGAACAGACCTCCAGAACGAATTAAGTTCTTAACCCAAGGTACCACTGTAGAATATTACATACAATTGGAAAGGCATATACCATAGAATTTCATGGACCCGAGTAAGAGGTGGAAGGAAGTCCGGTGCAAACAAAGTAATAACAAAATAAGTAGATAAGTAACATAATGTTTATTTTCTTTTTTGTTTCAGGCAGGCAGGAGTCTCCCCTAGCCCAGCCTGACAATGCCAGGGCAGAGGCAGTTTTAGGGTGGCAAAACTGGTGCGTTCTCACTGAGCGCCACACAGCAGAGGGTGCCAAAACAATGCTTTAGAATGGAGCACAAGAGGTGGGGTTGCTGAATTTTAGCATTGCATAGGGCACCACTGGAATCTGAGAGCCCTAAGTCCACCACTGGCCAGGGACTGAACTTGGAACCTTTTTGCAAGCAGAGCATTTGCTCTACCACTAAGCTACAGCCCTTCGCCTACTCAATATTTAGCCCTCTCACCATTCAAAAGCTCAGAAGTAGAAATATACATTTCAAAGTTGCCTCAAATCAGGATAATACTTTAGCTTTCTTAGCACTTGTATAGTGCTTTCGAGTGCTCAAAAGAATCCTATTATTATTATTTTGTTGTTATTATTATTATTATTATTATTATTAAATCCATAGCAGTGATCAGAGGAGGAATGACAGCTGGGAGGAGCACAGAGTGCCATGGTGCATTGGCTGTAACACAACCAGACCACCTTCATCTGCCCCAGCTGCAACAAAACATGTCTCTCCTGCATCAGTCTCTACAGCCACAGCGGGCGCTGTAACCTTCCAACAGCTTGACTTCACCCCCCAAAGGCACACCCCTCCATTGTCTCCCGAGACAGACAGATGTCAACCAACATCATATTATTATTATTATTATTATTATTATTATTATTATTATTATATCTTTATATATACCCTGCCTTTTTCCCTGACAGGGGCTCAAAGTAGAGTACGTACAAAATATCAACTAAATGCACTCGGGGGTAGAATCCGTGAAAAACAATTAAACATTAATAGAATTAAAACTCTATCTATCTATCTATCATCTATCTGTCTATGATCTATTTAAAATAGACAGGCAATCGTAACAAAAACAGCACAGCACAAGCCCCTTCCTTAAAAACTGTCATTTCCCAAACATCTGTTGGAAGAGGAAGGTCTTCACCTGCCGGCAGAAAGATAGCAAGGAGGGAGCCTGTCTAGCTTCTTAAGGGAGAGAGTTCCAAAGTCTGGGAGCAGCCACCGAGAAGGCCCTTTCCCATGTCCCCACCAAGTGTGCCTGTGATGGAGGTGGAACTGAGAGAAGGGCCTCTTCTGAAGATCTCAGAATCCAGGCAGGTTTGTATGAGGGAATATGGTCTTCCTAAGCTGTATGTAGATAAGCAGGTAAGTCAGTTTCCTTATTCCCCATATGGGAGATGGGAGACTGAGAGGATGATTTGATCAAGATCACGTAGTCAGTTTCTGGCAGAGTTAAGATTCAAACCAAAGGCTTTCAGATTCATAGCTCAGTCTCTTAGCCACTGTGTGACATTAGCTGTTGGTTCCTCTTCTTGAGATATTTATCCCTGCCTTGAAATGCTGAACATCCTTCCTAGGTGTACTGGAGCATCAAAAATTCATGGGTTGCAAAGCATATCACAAATTGTCATTACTGCCACAAAACAGATATGAAGATTATTGCTCCCAACATGAGTACCCCATGAAGACACTAGCTATTTAAAACTTTCCTTTCTTTGAGAATGGTTTTGCATCACACCCAGCATGAAGTAAGGAATGGAAAAGTTTAGAATAAGGCTCCTGTGCCAGAAGGCCAATGAGATTAAAGAGAACAAAGGGAGGTCGCTTTTGAAAGAAACAGAGGCTTAAGGGGCGA